TACAATTAATTTAACACTGTTGCGGGGTTTCACACTTTATAACCCTATTCGCAATAATCTGTTCACACTGTTCTCAGTAGTCTACACGTATTCACAGTACGGGAGCTATACAAGTCTCTTTGTATTATACACTCCCAATTACACAATTACCCCTGTGTCCGGTTCTTCTTTCCGCGACGGCTGCTATATTCCAACTTAACTCTAATGGCTCACTGCTGGTTAGATTCCAACTCAACTCGTAGGCTGCTGCCTTGAAAACTAACTTTGGTGGCTGATACACTGAGAACCCAGTCACTGCTGACTGGAGAACTCACTTCGGCAGCTGATACATGTTTAACTGCCTTCGGCGGCTGTGTAGTTCCCTTATATAGTCGCAGTGTTTGCCTGTTACGTAATGGGTACCGCTGTTGCCTAACGCCATGTCAACACCGGCGTTGCATGCCATGTCACAGTGCGGGGGGTGGGGGGGTGAGGAGCGCTGACTGACCCGCCACGTCACTACTGGGGGAGGGAGGGGTTGTCCTCCATTGCACAACATGTCACAATATCATATACCTGTATAATACTAAAAGGTCGCTGATGTGATATCATCCTTATAAATGTTCACAGCCCAACAGAATATGAAATTGATCATATAAATGATAGGTTCTATGAAGAACTTGAACATGTATTTGATAAATTCCCGAACTACTCTGTGAAAATTTTGTTAGGAGATTTCAATGCCAAAGTAGGGTGGGATGACATTTACAAACCAACGATTGGGAATGAGAGTTCACACGAAATTAGTAATGATAATGGAGTTAGTGTAGTAAATTTTGCCACATAAAAAATTCTTACTGTGAAAAGTACAATGTTCCCTCATCATAACATACATAAATTTACTTCGACATCTCCTGATGGGAAAATACACAATTAAATAGAACCATATTTTGAAAGACAGGAGACGGCATTCAAGTATACTTGATGTCTGATCATTCAGGGCAGCAGATTCTGACAATGACCACTACCTTGTGGTGGCAAAGGTTAGGGAAAGAGTGGCAGTGAGCAAATAAACAATGCACAGAGTTCATATGGAGAGGTTCAATCTCAAGAAAGAAAAGTGGTAGAGGGTAAGGAGCAGTATCATGTTGAAATCTCAAATACGTTCGCAGCTTTGGAAAACTTGGACACTGAAGTGGATGTTAATAAAGCTTAGGAAATTATTAGAGAAAATATACAAATTTCTGCCAAGGAGAGTGTAACCATTCTTTGGTTCTGCTAGCTCTGGTAGAGAAATTCAACTGCTCTCAGGCCGTGTTGACTGGCCACGACTTAGGTGATTGGTGGGGCATTAGGCGTAGGAAAGTCACACTCAACACCAATTAACTGTCTGAAGTCTTTAATCAAATGCACTATTTAAAGGGTAATTGCGCCATTCATTCATTCATTCATTCATCAGTAATCTGTCAGATGACAGGTCCACAGCCTCTTCCAAAACAGTTTCTCCACTTAATGCGATCTTCTGTTTTTGGAAAGAGACTATCCAGGAAAAGTGATAATGTGGTAGTTTTTCCATTTGCTTTCCACATCGCAGTACAACAGCCGTTCAAACCACTCTGGTCACGCCTGTTGCTATACGAACTTGAACCATCTCGAGCATCATTTTCTCTGTGCTTCAAGTCGCCGCTGATGACGCTGCTTCCGGCATCAGTTTTCGGTGTCTCTCTTCGTCTGATGCCTACCCTTTGACCTGTCCAGCAAGGGAGGCCCTGCCTATAGCTCTCAGGGTCCTTGGCATACTCAAACACCCTCACCACGATAAGGTGGAGACACCAACGAGGGGAATTGCGCCATAGTGACCAATTTAATAGGTTTGTGGGTTTAGGCTTCATTGCTGTTCACTAAGACACAGAAGTCAGTAGGCACCACAGAGTGTATATACGGGTATCAGAACAGGTGTACCCCCTGTGAATATTTCAGAGTTTTCTGCCAAGCACGCTCTGAAAGGTAAATATCTGCCTCATAACCCAAAATTCGGGCAAAGGACCTCCCACTTCAGATTATGATTGGCTGGGCCGGGCAGACTGGGAGGTTGCTTAAGCTTTCTCTTCCAATTAGAAAAACAAATATCCATGCGTGGAGAGTTTAGGGGTAAACTTTGCCAGCTGCTGCATGGCTGTCAAACTGGGATTCTGGGGTAGCATAACACGACGCTGCTAAAATTACGACTTCCCCTGTCAAAGTTTAGAATTTCTAAAGAACACGGCCTTGTGTTATGCATTAACTTGACTGATTTATGGGTGGGCAGCTGGCTTCAAGCTTGACCCAAGCCACTTGCTGCGTGTCTCAGGGGGGAAATCTCCAATAGTGTGACAGAAGTGAGGTATTTCACAGAACCCTAACCATACACGAAATATTAATAGACCATCCCATAAATTGGACATTTACAAGAGTCTAGGTTATTATGAACTGAAGACGCATAAGCCATGGTTCGATGAAGGATGCTCAAAATTATTAGACCAAAGAAACCAAGCCAAACTGCAATGATTACATGATCCAAGCAAAATAAATGAGGATAATATGAACAATATAAGACGTGAAACCAGCAGGCATTTAAGAAATAAAAAGAGAGTATCTGAAAGACAAAATTGATGAGTTTGCAATGAACAGTAAGAAAAAAACATTAGAGACCCATATAGAGGAATAAATGACTTTAAGAGGGGTTACCAACCTAGAGGTAACTTAGTAAAGGATGAGAATGGTGATCTGCTTGCTGATTGCCACAACATTTTGAACAGGCGAAAGAAATACTTCTCTCAGTTATTGAATGTACATAGATTCAGTGATGTTAGGCAGATAGAAATACAAAAAGCTGAGCTGTTATTACCTGAACCTATACCTTTTGAGGTTGAAAGTGGTATTGCAAAATTGAAAAGGTATAAATTGCCAGGTAGTGATCAAATTGCGGCAGAACTTGTTCAAGCCAGCTGGAAATGAAATATTATGTTCTAAGATCCATAAAGTAATTACTTTTATTTGGCATAAGGAAAAATTGCCTGATCAGTGGAAGGAGTCTATTACTGTACTAGTTCACAAAAAAGATGATAAAACTGACTGCAGTAATTATCGGGGCATATCACTGCTATGATCTTCTTACAAAATTTTACCCAATATTCTTCTTTTGAGGTTAAGTGCATACATTGACAATATTATTGGGGATCATCAGTGTTTGTTTCAACGTAACAAAACAACTACAGATAAGATCATTTGCATTCATCAGATATTGGAGACAAAATGGCAGTACGATGAGATAGTACATCAGTTATTTGTAGATATCAAGAAAGTCTATGATTTAGTTTGGAGGGAATTTGGGATATGCATGAAACTAGTTAGGGTGATTAAAATGTGTTTAAACGAAACATACACTAAAGTCCGCATAGGTAAATATTTGTCTGATAAATTTCCTATCCACAATTTCTAAAACAAGGAGATGCTTTATTGACACTCGTTTTTAACTTTGCTTTAGAATATGCCATTAGGAAGGTCCAGGAAAACCAGGTGGGATTGAAATAAAATGGGACACATCAGCTGTTGGTCTATGCTGATGATGTGAATCTACTCGGTGATAATATAGATACCATCAAGGAAAACACACAAACTTTAATTGAAGCAAGTAAGGAGGTTGATCTAGAAGTAAACACAGAGAGAACTAAGTACATGTTGCTGTCTCATCACCAAAAAGCACGGCAAAATCAGGACATAAAGATAGGTAACAGATGTTTTGAAAATGTGGCACAGTTCAGATATTTGAGAATGGCGTTAATTAATTAAAATCTGATTGAGGTGGAAATTAAGAGGAGACTACCAGTCAGTCTAGAACCGTTTGTCTTCTTGTCTGCTGTATAAAAACAAAGAAATTAGAATATACAAAACTATATTTTTGTCTGTGGTTCTGTATGGGTGTGAAACTTTGTCTCTGACATTATGGGAGGAACATAGACTGAGAGTGTTTCAGAACAGGGTGGAGAAAACTGCATAATGAGGAGCTTCATAACTTGTACTCTTCTCCAAGTATAATTAGAATGAACAAGTGAAGGAGGATGAGGTTGGCAGGGCATGTGGCACGAATGGGGGAGAAGGGGAATGTATATAGAATATTGGTGGGAAAGCCAGAACAATAGATACCACTATGGAGACCAAGGCGTGTGTGAGTGGACAATATTAACATGGATGTTAGAGAGACAGGATGGGCGGGTATGGATTGGATTGATCTGGGTCAGGATAGGAACCAGTGGAGGGCTCTCGTGAACACGGTAATGAACCTTCGTGTTCCATAAAATGCTGTGAAATGCACGAGTAGCTGCAGAATTGGTGGCTCCTCAAGAAGGGTTCAGATCTACAAGTAAGTATGACTAGCATTATACATATATGTGGCAAGCTAATGGAAATATATATTTCACTGCAAGTTGTCTGCATGACATGTGTTGTCTCTACACCACTGATTACTCATATAACCAGATTCTGAATTATAAAAATACTTTAGCTTTCAACACCATTACCCCACAGCACTAAACTACACCTCAAAAAAGCATTAAAACATGAAAAATACATATTCCTTCTAACATGTGGGTTGGTTACATCAGGAGATTGTGGAAAACAACTAAATCTGCTAAATTTGTTTCTTACTGACTTTGGATTATTTAAAAATGTTTTTTGTCTCCATTTATCCAGCACTGATTAAGCTAAGATAACAATAATGGTGAAATTGGGTATGGAAGAAAGTGGCTGTGTCCCACTTGACAATTGCATCCCTACATCCGGCTGGTGCTACTGAGGAAGAAAACAAAAATGTGTCAGGGTAGCTAAAATTAATACTGCATATCACATGAATACACATCTACAGCATTAATGCTACACCAGCTGCGTCAGATGACAAAAGAAAATGTGGTCCAATAATCAACTACATTGATGGATCCTGTACAGATATAGGAAAAACTGAAATAGTATTAAGTCCATGTTACCTCACTACATGGCATTCTGCCAGAGAAGTTTGCTGCTGTGTAGCCATATGTAACATTTGCTATGAGTTTGAGGCCAAGTTGCCTTGAGTGAAGCACACGCTGCAGCGCCTTATTGGATTTGTGTCTCTTCATGGACTGTTTCACCTGCAAAACAATACATAGGCTGCTCATTTAATTTGTATCACTTCTGGTGTAAACCATCTGTTTGTTTCCTCCCCATTCCTTTGGCATGAACATACAGTGCGTACAATCAAGTGCGCACCGCGGCTGCAATTTGCCGTGAGTCATACCACCGCAGAACGGATGCAACTCCTCCCTGCGACTGCAGTGCCGTTCCCCGATAGCGTGAGTGTAGTGGTGTCGCTGAGTCTCCGTCCATCAGTTGCTCTACATGCACACATTTATAAGAATACAGTAAGAAGATAACTTACCGTGGTTTATAACAGGTGCTGAAAGTGACCTCCTTCTGCTTGCAAACATGCCGCGCATCTCACAAATAAATTACGCGACACTCTCTGCAGTTCGTCGACGGTAATTGAATGAATTACGCGTGTAATTTCATTTTGAAGACTATCAATGCTGCGGGGATTATTTTTGTAGACTTTTTGCTTCAGGTTGCCCCAAAGATAATAATCAGAAATACTGAGATCTGGGGATCTGGGAGGCCACAGTCCTCTACTGACAATTCTGTCTTCAAACACTTCCTGTATTGCGACCATGGATGCATTAGCCGTATGTGCTGTAGCGTTGTCCTGCT